GTGAGAGAGGCTTCTGAAAGACGGGTTAGTGGGGACAGGACTGGCTAGCCCTGCAAAGTTACGCTGATCTGACATTGTGCCCCAAAATCAGAGAGACAAGAGTTGTAAGAAGGCACACAGCAAGAGGTAGAAAGGGGACACGGGTAGTGCCCCGTGACAGAAGGGAGCAGGCAGTTCCCAAGCTGGCGGTGAGCAGAGGAGGCTGGGGGCAGGGGCTGAGGGTGCTGACCTCCACTTTGGCCACCGCGCTAAGCTCCCACATCCGATAGGCCACCTGTGCTGCCTCGGGGAAGAACTCACCTGCGGCACTGCAATGGGATGGCAAGGACAGGCAGACAGTGAGTTGCACCCTGCCCTGCAGCCACCCTGTCCTGCACATCCCCAGGGTTCCACAGCCACCATGTGCTGGGCATGGGGCAAGTGGAAGGGACTGTGGCATCAGTGGTGGGAGTGTTAAGGGGACCACAAGGTCACCAGACCCAGCTGGGTACTCCGCAGGGAACCAAACCATAGGTTTGTACCCAGCCCCAGAGGGACAAGGATGGATGGAAAAGGGGGTGGCAGGTGTTCTTACTCATCATCCCCTCCACACAGCTTCAGCAGCGCCTTCTTGTACTCTCCAGAGGTGTCCTCCTGGAAGGATGGACAGAGATGGATGATGGTGCATGGCAGAGTTGCACTATGGTCACAGGATGGTGCCGTAGGATTGGCACAGGGAGAAGGGCTCCCTGAGCTGTCCCCTCGAGCTGGAGCCCTGGCGCATGGGCTGCCCCACGCTCAGCACTGGGAGGGAGGCAGCACTGGGAGAGCAGGACTCCCCAGCCCTCACCTTTATCATGTTGTGGAGAGATTTGTCATATTTGGTCCTGAACACCTCCCGGATGTCCAGCATGTCAATCTCGCTGCGTGACACCATGATGCGGATCAGCGTGTTATCCCTTGTGCCCAACCCCTGCAATGGAGCATCCCTTGTGTCAAGCCCTGCAACTGCAAACCCATTCACACTGGGAAGGATGCTTGGATTTGGGGCTCTCTATTGGGTTTCCCTCAATCCCAAGTCTGGTGAGTCCTTTGTAGGGGAGAGCCGAGGTCCCAGGACACAAGTCCTGGCTTCACAGCCACTCATTGGCATGGTGAGGGGAGATTTCCTTGGGCTGGGGCGATGTACCCACCTTCATGGCCTTGTAGAGCCTTTCAGCAAAATACTCTGCTGTGCTTCTGATGCACTTCACTGCAGGGGAAATGGACAAAGTGAAGGGGGGGACAATGGCAGCCTGCCCTGCACAGTCACCCCCCTGACCCCACTGGTGCTTGTGCTGCACCATGCAGCCCCAGCAACGCCAGTGATGGTTTCACCACCCAACTGCACCACCATACCTACTGCCAGCATCAGCTTCTCGAAGTCACCAGAGAGCTCTCCCCGGATGCTCCTCTCGATTGGCTTCCCCGAAATCTTCAGGTACTCATCAAAGACTGCGTTAGGAGAGTAGAGTGTTGGATGCTGAGCCCTTTTGGGGCTACCAGGAGTGGAACAGCACCCCTTTAGGGTATAAACCACTCTGTAGGTATGGTGTTCCAGTGGCTTGGAAATCCCTATCCCTCCTGTGGGTCAGCCCAGTCCTTTCTGGGGCATGCAATGTGCCCCAGAAGAAGTCAGGCCCCATGGTCCATGCAGGTGGCCTTGGCAGGAGGTGCCCAAGCCCTGCAGGTGCTCACCCATACGGAGGTGCTGCTTGCTCCGCCGGCCCAGGATGTAGATGAACTGAGCCTCATCAGTGCCCCACTTCAGCTCACCAGCTTCCAGCAGGTCCTTATGGAATGGGGAGGGGGCAGAGAGCCTGAATCAGAGTGCTACTTGCACGCTTTGCAGCCCCAGGTCTGGCTCATCCCGATGCCACCCTACTCAGATGCCACCCATGAGCCTCACCTTGGCATCCTGCTCCACCAAGTCCTCGCTCACCACATCGTCCTCCTCTCTGGCGCCCTGTGGGATGGCCATGGGCTCAGCTCTGCTGGGTGAAGCACCCACTGCTGGCCGAGGCTGGACAGACAGACAGACATACCTGAAGCAGGACAACAAGCATCTTCTTGAAGTGGCCTGATGTGTCCCCAACGATGTCAGCCTCCAGGTCTCTCTCATATGCTAGTGAAAGATGGAAAATTCAGCGCTGGGGGAGATGAGATCCCCTTAGTTTTCCCCTGCCCTTCCCCAGCCCTCACCGTCCTTGTAGGCAGCCACCAGGTCGTGGATCTCCTGGTTGGTGCGGGAGGCGAGGATCTCAATGAGGCACTTCTCATCCGTGCCGACACCCTTCGAGCACAGACACACAGCCCTGTGAGCAGCAGGGAGAGCTGAGGGCATCCCCAGAGGGCTCCCAGAGCCCGATCAGCCCTTACTGCAATGGCATCTTTGATCTCCTTGGCATCGCTATAAGCCGGAGGCCGCATCAAGCTTACAATCAGCCGCTCAAACTTGCCCGTCAGCTCGTACTTGAGGTCTGCAATGAGGTCCTGGGAGAGGACAAGGAGAAGGAGGAAGGGGCTGAGATGCCTGTGGCCGCGCAGCATCCCCTGAGGGCGCAGGATGCAGCATTTGGGGTGCGGATCAGGGCACATTTCTGCTGTTACCTTCCCATATTGGGACTTGTAGGCTTGGCAGATCTCTACACGCTGCTTGTTGCTGCGGGATGTGATGAGGTCAAGGATGGCATCCTTGTCACTGCCTGTGGGGAAAGTCAGGTGGCTGTGTCTGGCCCCATGGCTGGGTCCCACCCCACTTTGGGCTCACCATCACCATCCCACCATGCCCAAAGCTGCTGCTGGCTCAGGGTGGGAGCAGAAGCAGAACTGTGGGGAGGAAGGGAAGAGGGGGAGCTGGGAGCAATCTTGGCATGCTGCTGAACTAAGCAGCTGGAAGGGTTGCAATGCGGGGCACCCAGCATGCAGTTGGCAACTAAAGGACATCAGGGTGGTCCTGGGGTGACAGCCTCGAGGAGCATCCATACCAAATCCCTTCATGGCATTGTACAAGGCGTCTGCATCCTGGCTGGCATTGAAGCCTGGGAAGTCCTTCACCGAGCCCCTGTAAACCTGGGAGGGAGGAAGCAAGGAGATGCAGGGGGAGGGCAGCCCATGACCAGTGCTTCAGAGGGGGGGAAGAGGAACTGAAGGCTGAGGGGCAGCAGAATGAGGCTGGCTCCTGCCTGGGGCTGAGAGAGCTGAGCTCAGCCTCAAACCCAAACACTGTTCTTCTTTCCAATTGTTTCCTTTCCTGTTTGCTCTCCTTGCTGCATAAATTGTTTGTGTCTCATGTCCCTGCAGACTGACCTTCCCACTTGTATTTTGCTGGCACTGCTCTCTGTTTGCCCAAGGTTAAGCTGAGTGCAGCCCTCCCTGACCCAGGTGTTTGTTAGTAGTCCTGTTGGCTCTCCTGGGGGCAGCTCAGAGGGTTTGGGTGGCTGAAAGAGAAAGCTCCTGGAAGACCCCTGAATGCAGGGACCCCTGCAAAGCAGCAGGGCTTCAGGGAATTAGCAGTGCAAACCCAAAGCAAATAAAAGGAAGTCATTTTCTCTGCCTCCTGTTGTGAGCAGGGAAACCCTCAGGATGCTGAGGATGCCTGAGCTCTGCATGGGGTCCAAGCAATGAGGCAGGGACTGGAAAGAGCAGAGGCTGGAGTTTCTGTCCCCAGGTTAACTTTGCCCAGGGTCAGTCATCCCAGCAGAGCCTGGGGTCAGACCCTGCATTTTGTCAGCACAAGCCTGGGATGGAAGCAGATCTGAAACTGACACAATGCTGTGGTATAAGGAACTGGACACATCTCTGCTGTGGAAGAGCTGAGCAGTGGAACTCCGTTAGCAGTTTCATATGGGAAAGGGAGTAGGGCTGGGGACCAGAGCTTGCAGAGAGGAGACACTGTCCTCAAGGGAGGCGTGCAGGCATGGGTGCAGATCGTGTTGCAGCTGATTCATCCGAGAGCTGCATTTAGCCCCACTTCCCGGCAGCTCCAGACCCTCCTGCTGCCAGCACACACATGGCATTGACAAGGAGAGGCAGGGAAAGGGAGGTGCCCAGAGGCAGCAAGAAGGGACAAGGGTGGCTGAAGGGTGCTGGGATCTCATGGGTGGGTGACACAGAGCTGGCAGCCAAGGCCAGCTGCAGTGCTGTGTGGTGGGAATCAGGGAAACTGAGGCAGGACGTAGGTGCATCACCCCCTGCTTCCCACAGGACCCCAAAGTGGTGCAGAACATTGCTGGGGAGGGAAGCAGCATCCATCCCGCTGTGCCTTCCCACACTTCCAAGCCCTCCGTCGCCCTGCTCCAGCAGCTCAGGGCCCCCCACCTCCCCTCCTCCAGCCTCTGACTCATCTCAGAGCTAAAAATAAGCCAGGCTGGGACTGGTGGGGCGGAGGCAAAATTCCCAGCGTGTCTCCGCTCCCACCCTCAGCAGCTGCTTGGGCTCTGGACCACCGATGCTCACCCGCGCTGTGCCCCAGTTCCCCACTCAGAGGCAACCACTAAGTGAGGTGCCGCGGTTTGCTGGACTTGAGGCAATAATGGTGTGTTTTCTAAAGGCAATGGCGAGCAGCAGGGCAGTCAGCCACTTCTCTCCCCCATCCCACTGTGGTCTCAAAGGGATTTTTGCCCCTGGCCTGCCTCTAGTTCCCCCCCCCAGCATTACCTCTATCTGCTGGTGTTGCCTGGGGAGACCAGAATGTGCACAGACCCCACACCACACCCCCACACCACACGGCTGCTATCCCAGCCCTGGGGGCAACACTCCCATGGCCTCCCAGAACCCATCCCACCCAAGCACCCCATAGAGTGCAGTCACTATACCTTTCCTTTGGGCGCCATGGGAATCGCAGGGATGAGGACACAGAGGAGCTGAAGGAGGAAGCAGAAAAACAGACGTGAGCCAAAACATCCCCTGGTACCCTGCAACATCTATCAGAACAGACAGCTGGGTGTTCCCTGTCCCCTCCAGGGCACTGTAGGGTGACCATGGAGGGATCACAGCTGAGCTCCTTTGGCACCTGGCAGCAAGATGGGAGCAGTGCAGATGATGTGAGCCTGCACAGTTTCCTGCTGCTGCAGAAAAGAACCCATGAGGGGAAGAAAGTGCTGAATATGTGGAAATGGGCTGAGCATCCTCTTTGGGGAGCATGCTCTGGCACTGATCCCACCTCCTTGCCATGCCCCATGATGCGCCCATGCTGCTGGGCTGTGACCGTGCATCCCAATGGCCCTGAAGGCACCCTGGCTTCAGGGATGCCTGGGGAATCCCTGCTGCCATATGGGACCAGGCAGCACCTGGGTTTCTGCACACCAAATCAGCACTGCCATCAGCTCAGTACACAGAGCGGAGCTCCGGAAACCTAGATGGGTTTCTGGGGTTTCCAGGGTAACAAGTAGGTTGTTTTCTAACAATCATCACCATTTATAGCTGCAGTCTGTCTCAATGTAAACCTTCCCCACCCCCATGGAGAAAGTCCCCAGGCAATTCTGAGAAAGCTGTTGGAGGGAGAGGAACAGCTGGAAAATGGAGGGCGGCCCTGCAGGAGTCCCTGAGCACCATCTGAGCCTTTGGCCCCAGCGCCGTCCCCATCGCGCTCTGCCAGTGCCGGCCTCCCTCTGCTACACATTGCACAGGAGCACAAGGCACAGCTGGGCCCCTCTGGGCTTCCAGCCGGGCAGCAAGCAGGGGGAAAGCACACAAATTCACCCAGCTTCACCCCATGTCTTTGCGAGGGCAGACAGCAGAGGAGGGTGAGGCCCTGCCCGTGCTGCAGGGCACCTTCTGGCACTGAGCATTTCTGCAAGCATCCTTGCCAGGGCAGGAAGTCTTGCAGAAAAGCTGAGCTGCTGCTTTCTCTTTTCAGCTCTGGGAGAGCCCCAGCATTGCAGCAGGGCTGCAGTGCACCAGATGGGTGCCATGGATCCCAGCCCTCGGCCCGTGCATGCTTCCAATGCCTCTCAAGACCCTCTGTGTCGCAGGGGATGTGGGCTTCATCCTCTCTAGCCACAGAGGAAGCCCTGCAGCACAGTGCTCCCTCCCTCTCCGCATGCAGCAGCCAGGCTGAGTCCGCCCTGTTCATCACAGCAGTGAGTGCCCTGCCACACCCAGTGCCTGCAGTGTGCCTGCTGTCCTTCATAGCAGAGCTCACCGTGGGGCTGAGACATTTGTGTAGACCCAGAGAGAATGGATCCAACTCTTCCCCAGGTGACTGAAGCTCCATGCAGCCCCCAGCCTAACCTGATGGAGAGCTCTGTGCCCCTGGGCCAAAAGTGGCCCTAAATGATGCACACACACCATCTGTCCTATCTGCATCAGCCCTGCTTTGCAGCCACTTCAGCACACTCAGCTCCTTGCAAGCCCTTGCCAAAATCCTGGTGCAGATGGCCGGATCCTGCCCTGGCCCACACCATGGCTCTGTCACTGCAGCAGGGCAGAGGCTGTGGCACACCCAGAACTTCTCACCCTGCCCCAGGGAGGAAAAAGAGCTCCAAGGGGTTGGAAACGTTGCAGATGTGCTCCCCACCGAGAAAAGGGGGGCGGGGGGGGTCCCCGAGGTCCCCTGCCACACCCTAGTGCCAAAAGTCCCCTGCGCTAAAGTGCATTTCAGGCGTTTCCCTGCACAAAACCTCACCGTTAGTAAAAGAAATGGGATTTCCCTCCGTGGAGGGCAGGTGTGGGTGTCCCAGGGCACGGTGATGGGTGTTTGTGCAGCTCAGAGCGCACAAAGCCACATCGCCACTGCCGGACACACCCATGGGCCCTGGCCCTGCAGCAACGTCTGTGCCCTAAAAGCGCCCCTAAACCCCTCCATCCCCACAGCAGCGCAGCCCCGGATTTTGTTAGAAAGGAATGGCTTTGCAAATAAAGTTTAAAAAAAGAAGAAAAAAGAAAGGAAAAAAAAAAAAAAGAAAAAGAAAGGGCTGGTTGCCAGCGTCCCCTCAGCCCCCCTCTGCTTGCATCCCTCACCCCTCACCATCGCTTCCCCCTCCCTCCCCTCTCCCCTCGCACTGCACCGCGGTGCCTTTGCTTTGCACGCCCCTTGCACGGCAGCTCACACTTACCAGCACGGCCCAGGCCTGTTGGGTAGCGGAGCAGCCAGGCGCGCTGCTGGCGTACTGGTGGCCGTGTGCCCGTCCTTGCAGCTGTTCCTTCCCTCCTAACAACGTCACTGCTGCCGGCCCCAATCCCCGCCCGCCGTGGCTACGGGGTCAGAGCTGCGCTCCCACCCTCCCCACCCCAAACCCCGTGATTTTGGATGAGCGCAGTGTGGGGTGATCAGATGCTGCCCGTCCCTGCCAGGGCTTGGGGATGGTAGTAGGAAACCCCAGTGTTGGGTGAGGCTGTGGGGCTGCAGGGGGACCGCAGGGATAATGTTTCAGCTGCAGAAATTTCATTGCTGCCACTCTCCAGGGTAACACCAGGGTGCCCCACTGCCCGCTCCTTCTGCCAGACATCTCCACCTGCACAGAACTTGCAGCATCCATCCCTGATGCCCTCTGCCAAAGCCAAGGGAGGCTTTTCCCCCCTTCTGTTAAGGAGAAGGTGCTGAGCAAGCTGCAAGATGCTGATCTGGATGCTGCAGGCATACGTGAGGCAGGAGCTGTGTGCTGCAAGGAGAGCTGCTCGGTCCCCCTGCAAACCCAGAGCAAAGACTTTGCAGCAAAGCCATGGGTGGAGTTGCAGGCTGAGCATCTGCACGGTGCTCCTTTTCTGCAGCCCCCCATTGCACCAGGGTGAGCCCCTGCTCCCCGCCAGCACCTTTCCCCAACCAGCACAGGGCTACAGTGATGTCCCTGCTGTGACAGCAGCACGAGGAAAGCTGGGCCGCTTTGGGATGCGTGGTGCTGACACCTAACCCCTGGCATCCCAGCCTGTAACATTGATCCCAGGTGGGCTGTGACATGGCCCATGGCCAGCATGGGATTGGACTGTCTCGCAGGGAACCACAGACACCCTATTGTCAGGAGCTACTCATGCTGCACCCCCTGCACTGTTGTTCCCCCCCAGGGCAATGTTCCCTGGGGAAGGCGTTGGTGGCTGGAGACCTCACTCGTGAGGCTGCGTGGGTGACAAATGTGGCTTTGTTCAGCCTGTGCTGCGCTGCAGGACGATGGCCCCGCTCTCCTCCTGGTGCCACGCTGTGCTCAGTGCCCCAGAGGTGCTCAGGGGGTGCACTGGGGATGTGGGGCTCAGACCATGTCTCTGTGCTCTGTGTGCTCTGTGTACTTCTAGGCTTTGTCCCCTCCCTGCTGATGTCCCCTTCCAATGGAGACGTCACTGCCTGAGTGCAGCCCCTGGGCTCAGCACCCCCCAAATCTGGATGGGTGCTGCTGTTGCAGGAACCATGGAAAGGGAGAGGGAGGGAAGAGCTTCCCCCTTCCACCTGCCCCAGCAGCTTTGAAACAATGGAAACCCCTCGCTAATGTCCCTGAGCCCATTAGCATTGTGTGCTCGTGTGTATGGTTTGGAAGGCATTATGGGAGAAATATTTCTGCATAGATTTCCCATTGTACTGCAAGAGCGGTGGTCAGCGGAGGGCAGGGGCGGTGGGCAGAGGGAGGATCAGGGTGTTCCCAAAGGGATTTAAGCCCAAGGGGTGAGCGCAGATGCTACTGGGGCTGCCTGAGGGTCACTTTGCAGCTGGAGAAGTTTTCCTAAAGGATTGCCAGGGTGAGTAGTTGGTCTTACCAGGAAGATGCTTTAGATTTTGATAACCTTCTGACTGAAACAAAATGATCAGGGAAAAGGGGTCTGAGTGGGACTGATGGTGTGCGATGAGGAAATGCAGCTGGGGATGGGGTGGGAAGGCAGGCTGGATGTCTGGCTGAGATCCTGGCCCCTTGAAGAGAAGATTACGGGACCAAACTCCGTGCTGCACAGTGCAGCACCACGGGAATGTGAAGGCATGCAGTGCCCTTTGCTGTGCTCCTGGGAGCTCCCAGGGGAAGGCATGCAGACCGCAGCACCAACCAGGGCACCAATGTCCACCAGTGTGGGGTTGCTGCAAGGCTGACATCCTTTTTGGTGACATTAGCAAGCCACGGAATCACTGTGCAGGCTCACGGTCCCCTGCCTGAGATGCGTTATGGTGTGGTTATGGTGCAGTGGGAGCATCCTTGTGGCAGCCAGTGGTCCCCTGTAGTGCCCTCTGAGGCCATCCCCCAATGCAGCATCCTCACACTATCTCTTTGCTGTCCTGCAGATGCCGTGTTGGGGCCGCCTGCTTTCCACCTGGATGCTGCTCTTCCGCAGGAAGACCCCGGGCAGCTCAGTGCCCTCCAGCCTCCGCCGCTGCCTTTCCCCCTCTGACCTGGTTGCACTGGGAGTGGGCAGCACGCTGGGGGCTGGTGTTTATGTGCTGGTGGGGGATGTGGCCAAGACCACCTCCGGCCCCAGTATCATTATTTCTTTCCTGATTGCAGCCATTGTGTCCATTTTATCTGGGTTGTGCTATGCCGAATTCGGGGCGCGCGTGCCCATGGCCGGCTCTGCTTATCTCTACTGCTATGTGACAGTGGGCGAGCTGTGGGCGTTCATTGCTGGGTGGAATCTGCTGCTGTCCTATGTCATCGGTATAGGGCACTTCTGACCCTTCCAGTGCTTGGTGGCCGTGGGTTTGCCTAGCTCCATTGGGGGCATCCCCAGCAGTGCCCAAGTCAACACCATCACCTCTCCCCAGGTACTGCCAGCGTTGCTCGAGCCTGGAGTGCTACCTTTGATGAGCTCCTTGGCAAGAGGATGGGGAGGTTTTTGGATGCCCATGCCCCCATCCACTCAGCAGGGCTGGCGGAGCATCCCGATGTCCTTGCTGCATGCCTGGTAATGCTGCTGGCAGGTAGTGTGCTTACCCCACACCACCCTACTGCGCAGGAGGATCCCACTGCTGTCCTCCATTTCCACCATCCCCAGTGATGTCCACTGTGGTGTCACCCCAAGGGCACAGACAGCTTTGTGCTCTTCTCCCCAGGGCTGCTTTCCTTTGGAGTGAAGGAGTCCACCACAATCAACAAAGCTTTCACTGCCCTCAATGTGCTTGTCCTGCTCTTCATCACAGCCAGTGGCTTCATCAAGGGCGACCTGAACAACTGGCAGCTGCGAGAAGAGGATCTGCTCTGGGCAGCCCATGGAACTGGGTATGAGTGGCTCTGCTACCCAGTGCTGCCTTCATGGGGTGTGGATGGATGGGTGGCCCCCTAACGCTCTCTCCAAGGAAATTCCACTTTCCCCTTTATGTCTCCATGCTCTGTGTTGCAGGGGATGTGGGGATATTGACAATATGCTTTAGAGCCGAAGTCCCATCCTGAGACCCCTTTATGCTGTCTGACTCTTCCTTCTCTTCTTCCTCACAGGAACCAGTCCATGGCTGACAACAAAACTGGTGTCTTTGGGGTGGGAGGCTTCATGCCATATGGTTTCACTGGCACCTTGGCTGGAGCTGCAACCTGTTTCTATGCTTTTGTTGGGTTTGACTGCATTGCTACCACAGGTGAGCCAGGAGAGATGGAGTTGTGAATTCCACTATGGGGGTAAATCCTCTGCACCCATGCAGATGCTGCAGATCCACTCCCCAGCCTCATCTTGTCCTCCTCAGGGGAAGAAGTGAGGGACCCACAGAGATCCATCCCCATGGGCATCATCCTTTCCCTCCTCATCTGCTTCCTGGCATACTTTGGAGTATCTGCTGCCCTCACCTTGATGATGCCCTACCACCTCCTGGACACCACCAGCCCCTTCCCAGTGGCTTTTGACTATGTTGGCTGGGGCAGTGCAAAGCATGCTGTGGCTGTGGGGTCCTTGTGTGCCCTCATCACCAGGTGAGCGGGGGTCCTGGTGTGCCCAGATGACCTGTGGACACCACACCTGTGATGTTGGCCCTTATCTGATGGTAAGGGAGGTGACAGCCATGCCAATGTGGTCTTGAAGAGGTCATAGATGGTACAGAAGAGTGGGAGCTCCCCTGGGTGCAGGGTGCTACCTCCCGAGTGCTGCCCTTTTCTCCCCTCTCTGCAGCCTCCTGGGCTCCATGTTCCCCATGCCAAGGATCCTGTATGCCATGGCTCGAGATGGGCTCCTCTTCAGTCCTCTAGCCAAAGTCAGCCGCCGTCAGTGCCCGGTGGTGGCCACACTGGTGTCTGGAGCAGTGGCAGGTGGGCAAGTTACTGAGCTAGATGTTATCCACCAAAGTTGTTCTCATTCAGAGCTCCTATATAGAGCCCCTATAGCCTGTCTATGAGTTGAGCAACATTTAAGGTTAAATTCATTGTGGGGGGAGCCAAGCAGAACCAGCAACCCTAAAGCGAGGAGCTGGGAAATTCCTACAGAGGGTCTCTTGGAGACTCAGAAGTGGGTGCTGAAGGCTGGTGCTGTGCCCAGGGGCTGAAGCATCACCAGCTTGAGCCCTGCTGCAGTGGTGACACAGGGAGAGCATGGCCCATGCTGTGCTCCTCATCCCTGCAGCTCTCCTGGCTCTCCTCCTTGACCTGAAGGCTCTGGTGGACACCATGTCCCTCGGCACGCTGCTGTCCTACTCACTGGTGGCTGGCTGTGTGCTTCTGCTCAGGTGTGGCTGCAGGGTGGGCTGGGGAGGGGGGGATGGGGGCACACAGCATCACTGCCTGATGTTGAACATCTGCTCAGGTACCGCCCTGAGCCCTGCACCCAGGATGTTCCCGTGAGGAAGGTCCCGGTGGCACGGTCCTGGTGGCAGGCTGTGCTGAGGCCACCCCCCCATCCCACCCCGCATTCCTACACCGTGGTGTCCTGGGCTCTGCTGGCCATCGGTACACGTGGGGGCTATTGGAGAGCTGGTGTGGGCGGACCCGTGGGGACGTGGCGGGGTGGGCTGGATCACGCCCTGCCGCACATGCTGAGCTCCCTCCTGCCCTCTCCTGGAGCCTCTCTCGCTTTCTGCTTTCCATGCTAAAAGCTACGCAGACAGTCCCGAGCTGCCAGCTCCCACGCCGGCCCCCTGTCCCTTGTCGCCGCAGGGAGCTGCTCCTAAGGCACTGACCCGTATCCCCACAGCCGCGCTGCTCGGCGCCGTCGGTGGGCTTAGCGGTGCCGCGCTGCTTTGCCTGCATGCCCATGGGGCCGGCTGCGGGGCTGCCCTGGTTCTGCTGCTGCTGGGAATCTTGGTGGCCGCTCTGCTCGTCTGGAGGCAGCCCCAGAGCCGGGAGAGAGCATCCTTCATGGTGAGCAAAGCGGCCTCAGGGACCTTCCCTAGGGAAAGGGATCTAGGGGATGGAGCACCTGCAGCACCTCCTGCCCCAGTGTAGCACCTATCAGCCAAACCACCCCGTGAGCACCCACTTCCACAGCACGGGCTGGGTGGCAGCACCCCTCAGAGCACCATATCCCAGTGATGGGATTGGGCTTCCCCTTGCCATAGCCACAGCACAAAGAGTCCAGGTAGGCTGCAGCTACCCCAAGGGGTCCAGGCTGACCCCATGACCTGACGGCTGTAGGTTCCCTGCCTGCCCTTCCTGCCACTGCTCAGCATCACCGCCAACAGCTGCCTGATGGCACAGCTCGGTGCGGCCGCATGGCTGCGGTACCTGCTCTGGATGGCCCTTGGTGAGCCCTGCACCTTGCTTTGCTCTGCTGGTGGGGAGTGGGTGGTGGAGAGATGCCTGCTTTACTAGGACAGGGCAGTGGGAGCATCCCATCCTCTAATCCATGGCCCAAAGAGTTTGGAGGAGAGGGCAGAGAGCCCCCCACTCTATTCTGCTCATTTCCAGGCTTCCTCATTTACTTTGGCTATGGGATCTGGCACAGTGCTGAGAACCACCAGCCCCGGGAGACGCAGGAAGACAGGGCTGGGGATGCAGCACCCATGTGCCTGGGGAGGGCTGGAGGGGATGGCCTGGTCCCCACCGCCTGGATTCATCCACCCTGTGCACAGGGAGCTGCTGTCCCTGAGCAGCCCCAACCCCCAGGGCAAGCCCCTGCTAAAGGATCTTTGTTCAGAGAGGATAAAGCAGTCGAGCTTTTTTGCTGGTTTTGTTATTTTTCTGCCACCCCACCGGTCCTCAAAAACACTGACGCTGGGTTCTCGAGGCTGCTGCTTCTCATCGACTTGTCATTGTTACAGCCAGTAGCACGTTGGCCTGGTGCACAACTCATACACACACACAAACACATGCACAGACACCCACACCCCGACCTACACAGCCCCAAGGAGGGGACAGACTGATGACAGCCTCTGGAGTGGTGACTGTTCCACTGCAGTCATGTGTGCCCAGGGGAAAGTGCTGTGTGCATCCAGCCCATACCTGTGTCCATCTGTGTGCAGCGGCCCCACGGACCTGTTGATGACCCCTGGCTTGGAGCAGGGGGATGTGACCTGCTGGCATCCTGTGGAAGGATGCTCTGCTCCCAGATGTGAATCTCTACCCAGCACTGGGAGAGAAGATGGGGCTGGTGGTGCTGGCTGATTGCAGCAGGGACAGGCAGGGCTCGGCTGTAGTGTAGCAGTGAGCAGGGTCATACCTGGGCGTGGGAAAGGTCCCTGGGAGCTGATGCTGGAGATGGAGGTGGCAGCAGGGAGCTCTGACTGCCCGCCCGCCCCAGGGAATGGGACCAGCACATCCCATGCCCACCCCACCTCCAGGCAGCACTGATGCTGGATATTCTCAGAGCCAAGCGCTAGGTCAGATCCAACCCCCACGCACATCTGTGTGTTCCAGCTGACCCCGCTCACCCCCAGAAAAGGGGTGTGGGGATGGCACAGCGTGTCCCCCCCTGCAGCAGAGGCCGGGGAAAGGCAGGCGCAGGCGTCCTGGGAAGTGCTCCATTGCGTAGGGCCGCCCCAAGGGCCGGCCCTGGAGAGTGGGGGCACTCACAGCCATGCTGCCCCCTGGGCTGTGCGCTACGTGGCAATGAGAGGCACGTCACTGGCAGCGATGGGGAAGGGGCAGCCATCCCCCCCGTTGAGCACACGGTACAGCAGCTCCTCCTTCTCGTGGTGAGCCTGCTCCCGCAGCTTCGACTCCTTCTCCAGCGCCCCACGGATGGCCAGCAGCTCCTCTGATAGCTGCCTGTGGGCAAAGGGCAATGCTGTGGGATCCACGTCCCCACCACTGTCCCTTGTGCCTCCTCAGGTGCCAACCTCAGCCGTGAAGCTGATGGGTGTGTGCTTACCTTGTCATCACCAGGTGGTTCTGGGTGCGCACCTGCAGGTCCTCATTCTCTTGCTGCAAGGTCTTCACCTTCTCCTCCAGCAGAAGGTTTCTCTCTGCCTGCAAGGGGAACACCAGGGTGAGGAGGGGACTGGGGAGCACCCACTTGTGTCCCCCAGTGCTGTGCTCAGTGGGAAGCCATCTCAATGACACCTCCCTGCTCCAAGGGAGTAACCAGGCTCCATCCAGCTCCATTCAGTCACAGATACTGGTCAGTATTCAGGTGGGGAGGAGATGCATTCGGGTGAATATCAAGAGATAGAAAGAGCAAAACCCATTTGCACCCCCCTTGAACCCACCACACTCTCCAGGTTCAGCAGCTTCTTGTCCAGGCCGTGGATATGCTCATTCTTCATCTCAATGACAAAGTGCAGACTCTCCAGCTCCTGCTCCCAGAAGGGGCTGGGGCTCCCATGCTCCTAGGGGTACGGGGGAGGGGGGTCAGAACGGCAGCAGGGTTGGCACTTGGTGCTTCCACCTTGGCTTATTTGCCCGTGTGTGACCCTGCTGGCATGGTGCTCACAGCTGGGGTCCTTCATGCCACAGTAGGTTTGTACACTCAATGTGCCAAGATTTGCCCTTCACTTGTGCTCAAGAGCCCCAAACAGCCCACACGCCTCCCAGGAATGGCATTTCACCCCTTCAGCTGTCCCAGTGCCCTCTGTGCATCCATTGCTGGGGTCCACCAGGGAAACTTTGTGCCAACCTCCCAGGAACAGGACACCTCCCTGACACCAATATGTGCCCTGGGCAGCCTGATCCAGTGGGTGGCAGCCTTTCCTTGGCAGGGGCTTGGAACTGGATTGGCTTTAAGGCCTCTTCCAACCCAAGTCATTCTATGATTCCACGGATATTTGCACCCTGGTTGTCCTTCATAGGCCACCAGCTGTGTGTATCCCAGCACCTCGATGTGCTTCTTGTAGTCCCTGCTCAGCAGTGATTCCTCCACCCGCTTCATCCTGTCCTGGAAAGACTGCAGCTGGGACTTCAGTGCGGTGATGGTCTCCTGGGCAGCAGGGGAAGAAGCAGGAGGCAGCTGGGATTTTTTTTCCAGCAGGGGCAGCCCAATAACAGCAGGACTGCACGGCATACTGGAGACCCCAAGATGGTCCTCCTAGGGCTGAGGATCTCCCCATGGGTACCTGTAAGGCTTCCTGGGACCTGTGGTGGGACTCTGCCAGCAGCAGCTTCTCCTGCTCGTGCACTCTTTGGAGCTCTGTAGGGGGAACAAGAGCTGAGTGTCACTGGCACAAGGACACCAGCAGTGGCGTCCCCACGTCCCACAGCCCCACACGAGCTGGAGAGGCTGTGGGGAGCAGGTGGGGGTTGTGCTCTGCCCAGGGATCTCACCTTGCAGGGTCTCCTCATGCTCTCTCCTCAGGGCATCAAACTTTTCCTTCAGCTCCAGGTCCTTTCCCTTTTCCACCTGGAGATGACAAGACCCTGAATGTCCCATAGGCTGTCCCTGCAGCCAAGCAGTGCACCCCGCAGCATCCTGATTCCTGACCCACCTGGGTGCTGACACCTCGCTGTCCCTCATCCTCTGCCCCCCGGGCTCCTCGCAGCCTCTCCTCCTCCTCCTGTCCTTGGAGCAGTTTCACACCCTCCTCACCGTGCTCCCCCCCCGGCGCTGCCTGCTCCTTGCCGGCTCCATTGGCTGCAAAACAAACGGGGCTGAAACCGGGCACATCCAGCTGGTATCAGCCCCTCTGTGCTCTTCCACTGGACAAATCCCTCCTCCCAACACACTCAGTGCAAATTAACACTAATGGGACGGCGTTAGCAGGCTGTGAAAGGAGGCAACCCAGTGCCTCCTGCCCTGGGAATGGCCGATCTGTCCAAGATGATGGGATACCACTAAGATACCATTGAGATGCCACTGGGATTTCATCGTCCCTTCCCGTGCTGGAGCTGGGGCATCACCCCGAGCTTCCATCAGCCTCGTGGGGACTGTTTTACTGCTTTCATAGCAGTACCCTGAGTGAGTGCATCGATGGAGACAGACATTTCCTTCTCACCGTTCTCTGTCCTCCGGGCGCTGAGCTCCTGGCCAGGCACTCCCTGCTGTTGCTTGCCTTTTTGCTGCCTCTAGCCAAGAGAAACATGATATGCACAATAGGACGGGACAGCAAAACTTTTGTCTGAGTCCCTTTCACCCTCCTCCATCCCTACTTCCCTGGGGCGCACCGTGACCAAACACAAACCCCATTAGGGAGCCTGGCTGGAGAAAAAAGCAAAGCAAAGCAAACAGGCGCGGTGCTGCTCCGCTCCCTGGCTGCCCCTCTTTTGCAGCTGCAGGGAAGCGTGCTGCCAGAGAGAGAGCGGGGAACGCTGAGCCTCTGGGAAGCCCCGGCTGCGTTTGCCCTTCTATGGTGCTGGTGGAGGCAGCCGGGATTTGCCGTGTGCGGTGTGAATGCGGCATGCTGAGGTCGGGCTCTTCCCTGCCTGCAGCTCCGCTCCAGCCCCGAGCTGATCCTTCAGGGCATTGAGAATGGGAAATGGGGATTTAAGAGCCTGGCACGTCTGCCAAAGGGTTCCTTGTGCCTGAGACTCAGCTGCGGGAAGGGTGCAAAGTGGAAACAGCACAGCATGTTCTGTGCCTTGCATGGCTGCACAATGGCCATGGAGGCCTTTGGGGACACCTTCCAGAAGTAGGTCTCAGATGTAAGCCTGATGAAGGCAAGACTGTGAGAGGGCATGGCCATGGCACAGCCAAGGGGACGCAGCCCAGGGTGCTCAAAACACCATGAAGGTGATGCCCAGGGACCGGCTGTGCGCAGACCATGTCCCCAGCATGGCTCTGGGGCACTTTTCCCTCTCTCCTGTGCCCACGTTCAGTGGAATGGAGCCCCAGAGTCTCTTTGCTGCCCATCAAGTTGGATTTGAGGCAACTGCATCAGCTCCGAAATCATTGCCTGGGGTGAGCAGTGCATCAGCCTCACCAGATCTGAATCCCTGCCCTAAGGCTGCAGGTGACAGCACCTCTGGGAGCAACTGGAAGAGTGTCTGCAGCTCAATGAGCTCTTGAGTGCTCCTCTATCTTGGAGGAGAGCTTCACCACAAAACCAAAACCAAGTGACTGAAAGCTAAACGCGTGTACAGCAGCCCCAGAGCTGCTCCAGCTGCAGCAGAGTTTGCACTGGGAGAACCACACAGAATGTCCTGCAGGTGCTGCTGTTCTGGTTCTGGGATGTTTCAGAACGAAGACATTTGGAGAGGCATTCAGGTTTGGAGAGGCTCATGCCAAAACCACCCTGCAGCTTAAAACAAAATTAAGGCATGCATGTCTATACTCAAATTCTTACAACAAAATATTTCTCCTGGTGGAGCAGAACTGTTTGGGGTCAGTTCTGAGCAGCTTCCCCCTGAACCTGCAGCACCTCGAGGTGTGCACCCACGTACCTGCAGGCAGCTGTGGGCCTCTGCCTCAGCTCTCAGTGCTTTTATGCACTGTGTTTTCTTCCTCTTTTCGTGCTTCACACGAAGCAACGAAACTACGCAACGTTGTGGTAAGTGAATGAAATCACACAGAGGCAGGAAACGAACATTCAAATCCCAGTTGGGCTGCTGGGTATTGCTTAGTGGCTGTGGAGAGGGGGGACAGGATTTGGCTGATGGCCCTAAAGCACCTCCCTAGGTCTCAGCAGATGCCCAGTGCAGAGTACACGGGACCTGCGTTCTGCTGCTCTCCTGCAGAGGTTGTTTCAGGGTGACTTTCACCCCTGTACAGTCGGATCCGCCGCCGACAGCCCCACGTTTTGCATTCTGACCTTCCCCTGCCTCCTGCTGCTACATATAGTTCCTATATCTCCAAAACAAACTCACCCCAGCCCTGGAAAGCATCCAAGCCTCAGCCCTGATCTCTCTGAAAGGCATCCAACCAAGCAGTGAGCACACATGGAGGGGAAGGGGCCCCCAGAGCCAGGCTCCCACCTGCCCCCACTGCCTTATCACAGAATCACTGAATTGTAGGGTTATCAGCCGCCGCTGCTGGGGAGGACGTGGCTGCCCAGCA